ACTTACCTTTTTCTAACGGATTAACCCGTCGGGACGCTGAGGATGCATGGCTCCGGCGGCAACAGTCTCTCAAAAGTTTATGGATTTTATGTTGGGGTGTCTAGTTCTCCTGTGTGTTTCGGTGAGAGTAAGCAAAACTGGGCAAGATAGTGTCATGCAATCCAATTTCCTGTCCACCATAACTTCCGCTGGGGAATGGCCGTCAGGACTTTTTTGGGAGATTCCCCGTAGTTCGACGAGAATGTGTGTAAAATTTTGGCAAGATCCCTACCTTTTTGCTTTTGTCGAGGTGCGCTTAACGATTCTAACGCAGCCCCTCAACTTGATCGGCCCGAAACGGATGGAATGGAGATCGGTGGGCGGGAAACCGAGCTCTCGGGCGAAATCACAAAACCAGTGGGGCCTAAGCTGAGCAACACAGTCTGACACAGTGGTCTCTTGGATTTAAACTTTAAAACCAGGTGTCACGTTCTAGTGTCGGCAGCCACCTCGTTTTAGGGGCCCCGGGCTAATTACCAGGAGCACAAACGAGTATCAATCATATAATTTGCTGATTGTCGATAGTTGAAGTGTACTACACCCAAAGCTACCAAATATTCTCCAGTGGCTTCCACATAAACTCTATTTATTAAGGTCAAACCGCAGATATGATAGTCGCTGTCCCCCTCACGTAGCTGCTTTTCGACAAACCCACTCCGCGGCGTCGCGAACCCGGGGCGGCGTTTTGTCGTCGTACGGATTGATCGGGCTAGTTTAAGTTCGCATAGCCGCTTCCGAAAGAAATGACCCAGCAAATGCGTGAGCTGTTGCTACATCTTTTCTCAAACAACGGTCCAAGCAGACCACTACCACCTGGAGTGACGAGAATGGAACAATTTAACTTGATGGCAAACAAACTACAGTGATGCACGGAGAGATGCGATCGGCCCTAGATGATTGAAGGTAAGCCTTCCTAAGGGATCTATTGCCGCAATAATCCCTAAGGAAGTGCAGAGCTCATCGTCGCTGCTCACAAACCGCTCTATGCCTCAACGGAGGTGGCCGTGGAGATTTTAGAAAATTGCGGGACACGTGTCAGCTAAGTCAGTGCATCGGTTGCAGCAGTCGTCCTTTATCGAATGCATCAATCTATTTACATGGTAATTTGACTGACCCTACTATCCATAGCCTTCCGACAGACACAGCCACCCAGTAAATCCGGAAAGTAGCCTTTAACCACCAAGGCAATGACCGGATATCGCTCCCTTGGCTTCGGCAGATGTAGCTCATCGCCAACTATCACTGGCATGCTACGCCGGCAGCGTTTGTTTTGATGATAAAATCCAACCGCCATGAAGTCACCTTCAACTCCAGAAATACTTACTAGAAGCGCAAACTGCTGGCGCTCGCTACTTGCTTTCACCATAGCCATCTTTTTTGCGGGCAGTCTAAGATCTCGTCGACAAATACCAGATCAATAAATGTTCTCAGTTTCGGGCCATAAATCGGCCGACACACCTGCACTAAAATTGGCCCATGAGACTACCATAGCTCTGAGCCTCGTCATCTACTATTCGGTCTAGGACNTGATTGGCGATAGTTGAAGTGTACTACACCCAAAGCTACCAAATATTCTCCAGTGGCTTCCACATAAACTCTATTTATTAAGGTCAAACCGCGCATATGATAGTTGCTGTCCCCCTCACGTAGCTGCTTTTCGACACAAACCCACTCCGCGGCATCGCGAACCCGGGACGGCGTTTTGTCGTCGTATGGCTTGATCGGGCTAGTTTAAGTTCGCATAGCCGCTTCCGAAAGAAATGACCCAGCAAATGCGTGAGCTGTTGCTACATCTTTTCTCAAACAACGGTCCAAGCAGACCACTACCACCTGGAGTGACGAGAATGGAACAATTTAACTTGATGGCAAACAAACTACAGTGATGCACGGAGAGATGCGATCGGCCCTAGATGATTGAAGGTAAGCCTTCCTAAGGGATCTATTGCCGCAATAATCCCTAAGGAAGTGCAGAGCTCATCGTCGCTGCTCACAAACCGCTCTATGCCTCAACGGAGGTGGCCGTGGAGATTTTAGAAAATTGCGGGACACGTGTCAGCTAAGTCAGTGCATCGGTTGCAGCAGTCGTCCTTTATCGAATGCATCAATCTATTTACATGGTAATTTGACTGACCCTACTATCCATAGCCTTCCGACAGACACAGCCACCCAGTAAATCCGGAAAGTAGCCTTTAACCACCAAGGCAATGACCGGATATCGCTCCCTTGGCTTCGGCAGATGTAGCTCATCGCCAACTATCACTGGCATGCTACGCCGGCATCACGCGTTTTGATGATAAAATCCAACCGCCATGAAGTCACCTTCAACTCCNTTTCTGAATAAATGCAGCCAAATAAAAAACCTCGTGGAATTTTCTACTGTGCAGATTTTAGGGGTTTTATGTGTAAACTTCAAGGTAAACATCTCTGTTTGCATAATGTATGAATGTATTAACACTTGCGTCGCCAGTCCCTCCGTAACGCGCTTATTAGGCCACTAGCGTAACCTACATGTAGGCCCTAGAAAAGGAACACGCAAACTTGACGACCCATAAAATGAAAGCTCTTAGCCCCTGAAGTATGTCCGGAATCGCAGCAATACCTTACTGCTCAGAAAACGAATCAAAGAATTTGGCGAGGGTTTACATTCTCTCTTCTCTGACCTTACGATAATTATATTTACAGTAAGGTACGGAAGCTAGGATAGAAGCTCTTTTCTTGACTTTCTTATCGCGATGGAGCCTTCACTCTACTAAGCAACTAGTTTCAATGTTGTGATTTGTCGCCGTCAGGCTGCGTTTGAATACCGGACGCATATTTAAGATCAAACCATGGTGTACTTGGGTTGTCGAAGTTGACAGCCACCATCACGTTGCCCGTATTTCTCTGATAATCGAGGTTTACGAATCATTCCTGCGAATAACATTTGCAAAGGTACCACCTTCAGGTGTTAAGTGAATGACCTTACTTTGATGAGTCGTTTTTGTCGGTATATCTCAGTAAGCGTCCGGTACACTGAAACTCACGTTCAGCTGTACTCAAATAATGCAAACGTTTGCTCCGATTTATTTATCTAAGTTTTGTAAAAGTTGTCTAATTATCGCAGGTGGCCTTCACAGTGACAGAGGATTTTTCAAAATATCTTCGTCTGCTTCCTAATCTATGCTCTGACTGAAGTGTTGCCCGAACTTCGAAATCCGACTGTGACGTTAACTGTGACCACTTCAATGGCATCCCAACAGAATACCAGCAAGTGGCAGTGATTGAAAAGTAGATAAGAAACAGGCAAAATCAAATCCTTAATACTGAGAGAGCAAAGAGAAACCAAAACTTGGTCAGGCGTGGGAAATGGAACGACATAGCCGTGGCCACAGCTCTTGAAGCAAAATGAAACCGTATGCTCTTTTCGTAGCAAAGAGGACATGCTTTGACGTACTGTTGTTACGCTATGCACGTTGGTGAAATATACGCCCTCGTACAATGGCTCGAAAAATTCGTCATATAATCTTTGAAAGTCAGGTGTGATATTTTCCTAGGTAGCGCAAAAAAGTCCCAAAAAATTCGAACCGAGATCGACTGTGAAAAATCCTTTGTAGATCTATGTACCAAGAAACATCTGGGGACACACACGGAACCATGCCATGCGTGAGCTGCTGTGAAGATGGGTGAAACAGCGATAGGACTCGGACAAACCTCCAAACTGGCGGAACCGCAAAAAGTGGATCGTTGGGGATAGTCGGCAGCAGTCTGGATCACGCCGATAAAATTCATAGTGCCGGTCCCCGACGGTTTGTAAGCTAGGAACGCCACCTCTTGGGCAGGAAAACGCTCCACGCCATGTCCTCCGTCACTAGCTTATGATAAAGTTTCAAAATATGCCAAATGCTGATAAAGCTCCACCGAGTCACTTTCCACCAGGGTATGGTGGAGATGGGCAAACCCGTCATCCGGACTGCGTCAGGCTGTATTTGCGCGGCGTTACCGAGACCAGATGGCATTCTAACGAATCAGAGCAGCCTAGAAGCTGTTAGCAGAGCTATGTGAAGTACATCTACTTTAGCAACCAAGATGTAGTCGTGTGTAAGGACCACACCCATTTTCTAAAAAAGTCTTGATGCTCAAGAGACGGGCGAATTAAAAATGGGCCGGTGGCGCAACTTCTTGCGACTAGGTTTACCAAGTGCCCGCCAGTATTATACGAGGTTCTTTGGTGGGCATTTGAGGTAAAAGGCTTGGAGCTATCTGAGAGACGAAAGATGTTGCGTGGAAGCACATTTCCCAACGCACCTTTGGCCAAGTGGTGCTTGCTTGTGTAAATGAAATCAGTGGGCGACGGAGTGATGGACCGGCAGTGTCAATGTGCCGCATGACGTGGTCCGTGACAGGCGATGGTTCATCCACAAGGCATATTAGGTCCGAACAGCGACACAGACCGGCTGGATACGCTTGGTGCGGCAAAAACTGAACAGAATAAAGCAGAGTCCATCTACACGCTCAAAAGCTTTCAAGCTGACTCCACGGTAACTAAAATTGTGTCCTTGTCAGCCTGTGGATCAATTTCCAGTATAGCGAACGAAATATCCTCGACTACAACGCACCCAAAATAACTCGCTGGGGTCCTAGACCGAATAGTAGATGACGAGGCTCAGAGCTATGGTAGTCTCATGGGCCAATTTTAGTGCAGGTGTGTCGGCCGATTTATGGCCCGAAACTGAGAACATTTATTGATCTGGTATTTGTCGACGAGATCTTAGACTGCCCGCAAAAAAGATGGCTATGGTGAAAGCAAGTAGCGAGCGCCAGCAGTTTGCGCTTCTAGTAAGTATTTCAGGAGTTGAAGGTGACTTCATGGCGGTTGGATTTTATCATCAAAACGCGTGATGCCGGCGTAGCATGCCAGTGATAGTTGGCGATGAGCTACATCTGCCGAAGCCAAGGGAGCGATATCCGGTCATTGCCTTGGTGGTTAAAGGCTACTTTCCGGATTTACTGGGTGGCTGTGTCTGTCGGAAGGCTATGGATAGTAGGGTCAGTCAAATTACCATGTAAATAGATTGATGCATTCGATAAAGGACGACTGCTGCAACCGATGCACTGACTTAGCTGACACGTGTCCCGCAATTTTCTAAAATCTCCACGGCCACCTCCGTTGAGGCATAGAGCGGTTTGTGAGCAGCGACGATGAGCTCTGCACTTCCCTAAGGACTTGTTGCGGCAATAGATCCCTTAGGAAGGCTTACCTTCAATCATCTAGGGCCGATCGCATCTCTCCGTGCATCACTGTAGTTTGTTTGCCATCAAGTTAAATTGTTCCATTCTCGTCACTCCAGGTGGTAGTGGTCTGCTTGGACCGTTGTTTGAGAAAAGATGTAGCAACAGCTCACGCATTTGCTGGGTCATTTCTTTCGGAAGCGGCTATGCGAACTTAAACTAGCCCGATCAAGCCATACGACGACAAAACGCCGTCCCGGGTTCGCGATGCCGCGGAGTGGGTTTGTGTCGAAAAGCAGCTACGTGAGGGGGACAGCAACTATCATATGCGCGTTTTGACCTTAATAAATAGAGTTTATGTGGAAGCCACTGGAGAATATTTGGTAGCTTTGGGTGTAGTACACTTCAACTATCGCCAATCAGCAAACTGTATGATTGATACTCATTTATGCTCTTAGTAATTAGCCCGGGGTCCCTAAAACGCGGTGACTGCCGACACTAGAACGTGACACCTGGTTTTAAAGTTTAAATTCAAGAGACCACTGTGTCAGACTGTGTTACTCAGCTTAGGCCCCACTGGTTTTGTGATTTCGCCCAAGAGCTCGGTTTCCCGCCCACCGCTCTGCATTCCATCCGTTTTGGGCCGATCAAGTTGAGGGGCTGCATTAGAATCGTTAAGCGCACCTTGACAAAAGCAAAAAGGTAGGGATCTTGCCAAAAATTTTACACACATTCTCGTCGAACTACGGGGAATCTCCCAAAAAAGTCCTGACGGCCATTCCCCAGCGGAAGTTATGGTGGACAGGAAATTGGATTGCATGACACTATCTTGCCCAGTTTTGCTTGCTCTCATTGAAACACACAGGAGAATTAGACACCCCAACATAAAATCCATAAACTTTTGAGAGACTGTTGCCGCCGGAGCCATGCATCCTCAGCGTCCCGACGGGTTAATCCGTTAGAAAAAGGTAAGTCTACCAGCTGCGAACGACTGACCACCCGTTCCAAAAATGAAGGAACAGATTTGGATTTGGATTCCAACCTATTTGTGAAACTTTTAGCTCTACAGGGCCTGCAGACTAGCAAATGCTCCAGCTGGTCCACAAGCCCATTGCCGCAGTCGAGAGTGTCGTCCGACTCGAAAAAAGCTGGGGCCCCTCAAACCTGTCCTCCAGAGACAGTCTTATGCGGAAAGATCACAATATTCGTAAACGCGGACTTCGACTGATTTACTCAGGAAGGCAAATGAGTTTCCGGGTCAGAAAGGTTATATGCCTATTAGACATTCAGGCAGCCAATCAGCGCCGGCTGATAACACCGGACTCCGTTTTGGGACCATTGCTGTTTCTGATATATGTCAGTGGCCTTCCAGATATTCTCACGAGTCCATGTCTACTTTTTGCGAACGACTTGAGCTCTTGAAGTTCTAGTGCTCTCCAAATGGATGTAGACGCTTCAAATCAGTGGTCGTTGGACTGGCACCTTCCTCTGAAAGAAGAAAAGTGCGTCCATATGTCATCCGGCGCAGACTCAGCGAAGGCTTATGTCGTGCATGGTTAAAAAGGACCAGAAGACAGAGGACCAGATACCAATAAGGATTTTGGTATCTGGCTTTCTTAAAACACATCCTCACTGCGCCATGAGAAATGAGCCCAAAAGACATTCGCCGTTCTACGGATGATTCGGCGCACCTTCTCCCGTATTAGTCACTTGAACTTCCAAATACTCTATGGGGCCTACGTCAGACCGCTCCTGGAATACCAACCAAGTTGTCTACTCAGGACGCACGAAAGACGAGCTTAATTATTTGGGCGAAGGCTTCAAATGCTCACTTTCGACGACTGCATCTACGCCCAAACACTCGATCCAAAATACATGAGTCGGAAAAGGAGTGTGAGCATCTAACAACGAAATAGAGGTTGAAATTAAAAAATCTGCACAGGACACCTTAGGCCAGGTTGTCTACTCAGGACGCACGAAAGACGCAACCCTCACTGAGCGTGTCCAGGAGGCTGTTACGAAAATGGTTGCTGGCCCCAAATCCGTAGATCACGAGACGCGCCTCGCGGTGCTCGACCTGTTTGTCCGGAGTATCGTCGCCTCCAAGTAGACCTACTTGCTCATGCCCTGTTTGAACAAGGTTTGGCCAACAGGTTTTCTACCACTGATCCAGCGAGCACACGGCGAGGACATGGTAAGAAGATTTTCAATCTCAGAGCGCACACTTTCATCGCGCAAATTTTTCCCCTTTCGGATAGTTTCTGCATGGAATAGCCTTCCTCCGACGGTTGCCCACGCTCCATCCAGAACCCAGTTCAAAGCTCTATCAGATGCTTTTTTATGCGCGTCCTCGCGCTGGCAAACTTACTGTCCCGCGCTGAGAGCCTGAGGAATAGTGCTACACCCTTTTTCCACTTGTACCTTTCAGGTAAACCGCAGCCGCTGAACGATAAGTACAACGCCGACCCGGAAGCTCGGGCGGATGCCTCGATCCTGTCTATCAATCGGTGAATCCGTCTGGGACGATGTCTTTCTCTTTGGTAGACCCAAATAGGCTAGACAGGCACTGGCTGAGAAACCCACCGCCACCCTTGAACAGAGCAGGTGGAGGGTCATCAGGATCTGCAGCTCTCAAGTGGAGAATTACACTCGAACACTTCTGAGTTTGAGCGTGGCTCCATATTCACAGTCCACCTCCCTGTTGAAGGCCAGGATTCCGGAATGGGACTATCAGGTGGCCAACTGAGTTGCTGTTCGAGGTACTGCGGATAGAGGTCCAAACGTTCTGCTTTTCTGGACACCACGAACCCAGTTTGTTCTCTTATAGTTTCACTGACAATAGGCGTCTTAAGACCAGTATAAAAATCGAATGAAAAGCTTACGGACGTTCTCATCTCTCATCTTCCATTTCTTCGGCATATCGAGACCAAGCTTCTCGGTGTGCACGGTCACTCAGTTTCACATGGCATCCGACGATCCGTCAAGTGGAGATGTGGTTGCGCCCAGGGTGGGGTCTGTCGGTGGGTCTCCAGCGAGGGCGTGGTACTATCAGAAATCCAATGTATGGATGAGGTTGGCTGGGTTGTATACAAACAGAAGTTCCAGCCCTGAGTAGCACCGTGGATATCGGTTCCAAGTGGCCGATAATATCCAATATCCGACCGTTCAGTAGGTGATCGAGAAGCCGGTATTGACACTGCTTGATTTCTGGGTTCAACGGCTTCTCAGCAGCTAAGCGAGGTGGGAGCGTTTTGCATATACCTGAAAAGCACAATGAAAAGCAGAGCGTACAAGTGTTTGGTTGGAGTCAACGTTGGTATTCCCGAAGTAGTGGCAGACAGTGAACGAGCCACGCCACAGGTAACTTACGGTGATGTGGTCTGTTTGGAATCTAAACTACTTCGGTGGTGAGTGCCACGTGTTCAGGCGATTTCCACTATTACGGATACTGGCATTGTTGAGGAGCAGCCTGTGACCGGTACATATCTGAAGTAGACGTAGGTCTCGTGTCCAATCCAAAGTGATCACCCAATCAAGCCTCATCAGTACTTGGTCCACCTACTTGGGCATCCATGTCACTAGCAACCACAACGACATCTGAGCTTTTACACCGTTGTAAAAGAGCACCCAGAGAATTACAAAAACTGTCTTTAGCAGATTCAGAGCTATAGTCAGTTGGGTCGTAAGCGCACACAGTAAGCAGGGTGCGATAGATCCCACTTTCTCGACGTGGTTGAATGAACTGCATAAAGGCAACTGTCAACGGGTATCAAGTCAAAAAGCGACGCTTCTGCTCAATTACTGAATGCAAAAGCACCGGGACATCCGGCTGCAACGGTCCATGCATCACCAAAGGTGCGCAGGAGGAACATGGGGAAGATCAGATACTTCAAATACAGTACTTACGTTCTGCATCCATGTTTCTGATAGACAACACATCAATGCAGAGAGAATCCAGCGTGCGAGCAAGAGCCATCTGTTGTCCTGATTGTTTCAGTGTCTGGACGCTAAAGTCGGCTAAGTAGACAGGCTTTCGGGATTTGAAAACATACTTCGAAGTGCTAAGGGTTGTCACTGAACTCGGACGTACAGAAGCTGTAGCTAAGTGTGATGCACGGCGAGTGAAGTGGTCAGTCAGTGCTGGCACCTACAGAGAGGGTATTCATATTTGGGTAGGGTAGGGTGGAAGAGGAAGACGTGAATGTGTGTGAAGGGAGACGTCAGTAGTAGCGTGTTTTCGCTTACCCACCTCGCTGTATGCAGCCGATAAGGTGACCCGGACAGTAGTAGCGTGTTTTCGCTTACCCACCTAGCTGTATGCAGCCGATAAGGTGACCCGGCTGATGTGGCATGAAAGTGTTCTTTGTTTTAAGTGTCATGGTTGTATGTGGGCTGCCAAGGTGCCCAAACCCAGACATCATCCGCTAATGCCTTTTTTATTCAAAAACCTGACCACACTACAGCGGTGTTTGGCTGGAAATGCTATTGGGATTTTTATAGAGCAGGTCTCTATACATGCTCTAACCCCAAACCTGGAGGACCAGGAAACCTTGTTCTTCAGACCTCTAGCCATTGACAGACTGTGTGTCCCGCACCCCCCATTAGAACTCAATGGGTCGCCGGGGTACACGCACAACGGTAAGTTCCAGTCTCTTCATGACGAAACTTGGCAAGTGACAATTTGCATCTCATTTGAAGAACCGGAGGGCATCCAGGACCGTCAGCTACGGTGAATTGGCCCTGAGGTACGCATACCGAAACGTGGTCTACTGAGATAAGTGGCCTTCTCTATGCCTCCTGAATTGCGCAGACTAAGATTTGGATAACGTATGATTTTGCCCAACGGTGAAAGAGATTACGAAGGGTGCAGTACACATCCCAGGATTGGATCCCCGAGATTCCTCTTGCGCTTGGTTGTAGGCACTACATCATCATCAACAGCATGATATCAGAGGTACGACCATGATGTTGGTTGTAGGCACTACATCATCATCAACAACATATCAGAGGTACGACCATGACTTATTTAAAGCCTTATTCTGGAGAGAAGAATAATATTGGATGAGGAATAGACTTATTACTAGCTTACTGCAATCATCCCGAGGTGCCTACACCTCCAAACACCCATTCAGGTAACCTGGATAGAAACTGACTTCGATTGACTTTGACTGATTTCGGTCAGCAGCCATATCTTACAGCATCTCCAACCAGGCGCAGTGAGGATCGTGTGCGCTCATCCTAGAAGCAGCACCCAAACGTTTCGTAGTTTCTTTCGTACCCCCTGTCAGCTCAAGGGTTGGTCACTTAATTGAGCGCGAAAAACGGCATTTTCGTCGGCAAACGATTGTTCGGCGTACGCAATACACAGCCTCATCATCATCGTCATCATTGTCAGCTGTAAGAACCGCGCACTGGTCGTACAGTGGTTGTAGCTGCCACAGTTTCGTTCACCGATGATTGGGGGTAGGTAGCTGCGCATTGCACGCGTGAGCTGGTAAATTGGTGCATAAATCCAGCACTGTCAGTGGGTTGTCAAGCGGGGGGTGGAAAAGGAGCTATGCATTGAAGGCAATAGCTTGGATGCACGAGCGCCATTGATGGCGCGACTGGGCCATGTCTGATAATGTCTCTAGCCATTGATGTGGCCCGTCTCGGGGTCCCCATCCAGGAAGACGGCAGTGACCAGCGCA